CTATACAAAAATAAACTTTATTGTATTTTTGTAAGTATTTATTTTCTAATAATAATTTTTTCTTTTATTTTTTCAAAAATTAAAACTAATGATTTTAAATTAAATTTTTAAAAAAAGTCAAGCCTCGAAATAATATTTGGCCCTAACCTAAATCTATAGCAAAAATTAAACATTGTTTTATGAAATTATGAAGATATTTATAAATTATTAACTTTATTTAATATTTTATAAACGATTTGTATTCAAAAAAAATATTTTCGCTAATTTAATTAAATTATATAAGAGTTTTATATATTTTATTTAAAATACTATAATGTTATGTAAAAATATTAAATAAAGCTATTAATAAACAATTTGTAATTAATTTGCTTAAATTTCCTCATTAAATTAATGGAAATTCTATATTTTTATTATAGTTGTTATATTAATATAATTTAAATATGTTTTTTTTCATTATTAATCTTTATTTTAATACATTTCTCCCATTTCATATAACCTTTCTTTTATTTTAAATATTTAAAATTCGCATTATTTTTTATATTCTTTAATTTTTTCAAATCTAATTTTTAATAAAAATATAATTTTTAATATATTAAATTACTCATTATTATACTATTCATCACTTATTTCAAGATACTATCTTTATATAAGATCTTCAGGTATATCATAAAGTACTTTAATTTAAGGTTTATATTTGCTTTTGTAAAATTAAAATTCATAGAAATCTTTTTAATTTAAAATAATTTATATTATAATAAATAATAAAAAAACCAAATTCACATCTCCTTATGCAATCTTCTGAGCATTTGTTAAAAATGTTATTCACACAATTTAATTAACAAATATGGAATATATTGAAAGCTCTTATTTTAAGTTTTTATTTTTCTATTTTATGTTCATTTGCAAAGGTTAAAAAAGAAATTTCCTTATATTTTTTTACTGGGAGTCCGTTCAAATGATTCTCCTTTTATTATTTAAGAAAAGCATACATTAAATAATAATAAATAAAATTATAAAAATATTAAAAAATTATATTATATTTTTATAAAATAAACAAATAATTTTTTATTTTATATATATATATGAATATCTTTATTAAAAAATTAATATTTTAATCAAAAATATTATATATAGATATTAAATAATAATAATAATTAAAATCTAAAGTAACTATTTTAGTATATAAAAATAAATTTCAATATTTATTGATTTTAAGTTAAAATTTAAAATGAATATGAAAAATCAAAATTTATAATAAAGTGCTATTTTTCTAATACTAATATTTTAATTAATTATTAAATTTTTTATAATATGAAAATAATTTTTATACATTGATACGATTTATATATATTATTTTATAATATTAAGTTTATAATATTAATAAAAAAATATAATATTATTTTAAAGATTTTATCAAGGTTATAATATAACATTTAAATATAATATTATCATTTTATTTATTAATATATATATATATTTATACTTTTTTCTAAATTATATAATTTTTCTTATTTAAATAACAATTATATTGAAATAAAATAAAAAATAAAAATAAATTAAAGAATATAAATATTTTATGAACTGTTTAGATTAATAAAATGGTTTTTAATAAAAAAATTTTATAGAAGAGCAAAATAGAGGTAGCAATTATCTTTAATCAGAAAATGATAGAGATGCAAAAATAAACCTCAGAATAACTTTAGTTCTTTATATAGCTTTCACTTTTTGGGATATACTATTTTCTATATTATATGGAATATATACTCTTAATAATTAATATTATAATACAAACAATATAGATAAGTGTGATATACTTTAATATTGGGCAAGAATATAACTATATTTAATTTTATCTGATATTATATTAAATATTTTAATTATTATAACTTATTTTGTAAACCTTAATTTTCATAATTATTTTAAAATAATATCAATTATATATACAATACCATTCCTTGTTTTTTTATTAGGAACTTTTGCAAGCATAAATAAATAATGCAATTATCTTTTTGAAATTGTTTTAGCATAAATAATAATAAGTATATTTGTAATTATTTTCTCAATTTTATTTGCCATTTTATATAAGAATTATGAAAAAAGGAAATACACATAAATAAATTTATAATGATAAAAATATTGATATAAAAAGCAAAATAAATAATGAAAAAATTTTGATTAATAAAATATTTTTTTATTGTAATATATGAAAAAAAAAAAAAATTTAAAAATCATGTAAAAAAAAATAAAAAAATATATATATAAAAATAATATTATTAATATATAAAATATTATACAATTTCATATATTAATATAAAAATAATAATTTAATTGATAATGTATATTATTTATAAAAATTATATTTATATAATCTTATATTAATTTTAAAATAATATAAATATTGATTAAATTTAAA